AGCGGGTGATAAACGTCCGTTGCGCTGTTTGATAAGAGTTGTAATCTTTATTTTCATTGTATAAAGGAGATCTTATAAAAAGATCAATTTTTTATTTGAGTTTATTATAATGACCAAAGTTGTAATAGATTCGATGACAATGAAAACTTCAACTTTTGACCCAAACACTCCTAATCTTGTTTCATACACAGTCAATGAGTAGAGGGGAGACCTTATTATCATTTTTTCAAGCAATTTAAATGATGTAAATTGTATGTGAGTAATTTGTGTGTGTATGCCTTTATATTGTGATCTGAAATCCGAATGATGAAAAAGAAGTAAGATTCACTGGATATGCTTGTAAATCAAGGATAGCTACAATATTTGGAAAAAGAGAGAGAGAGAGCTTATTTAGCTCAGAATATTATGAGATCATGCATTAAAAGAACATGTCCCGCAAACCAGAAACTAAAACAAATAGATTTGATACTGTTGGAAAAAGAAATTCACAAGTTGCAAATCATGGACGAAAGAGAAATCAATATTATGAGATGAATAGCCAAATGTTAATTCTGCTCACATAATGATCGACATAATTCAATATAATCGTAAACAAACTCTAGGTTCCGCAACTATGACTTGTGCCTTTCCAACAACTTCTTAGCCAAATTCTTGTAATTATCTGCATCAAGGTTAGCTATTACAACATCCTCTTCCAGTTTAAAGCATTGGATACCTTCGAAAGGTCTACAAAAAAATTTCCAGATCAGTCAAACTAACAGAAGATGAAAGTTTTCATGTGCAGCTAGAAGCAATCAAGCTGAAGTCTTGTAACAAATATTAGCCTACTTACTGAGCAATATTTTTGCAATGACCACACCTGTAGGAATAAGAATACATCATCTTGAAATAAGGTCACCAGGAATAAGAAAGGAAGATATATAAGAGGGTATCAATAGAAATCAACTAACCATAGTGCATACAAGTTCACAAGTCTTTATTTCCATCAAGTACAACCTGATCAATAGTCTCTGATGTCAATGGCACAACACTGGACGGGCTGTTGCCAACTTTACACTAGTCCCTATATCCATACATACAATCAATTAGAGCATG